TGGCTATTCTTACATCTGCAACAGAACCAGGATGCTTTTTTCAATATCTATTTTATTATTGCCCTTTGCCATATCATGAAGTTCTATTTGGTTTTTTGAGCTCATACAGACCTAGGTTAATGTTTTGCTGATCAATTCTATTTTTTGACTATAGAGTTTTTAAACATTGCAATGGAGATTTCACCTGTAAAAAGTTATAAGGCCTTTACTATAACGTTATGTGTTGTATGTATTATATTATGTGTGCACACTTGTGTTTTGTGTTATATGTTTGAATGTACGTATGTCCATATATCATATATGATGAGCGCTCATGATAAAATGGATCCAAATATTTTTTTTCACATGATTTATATGGTTTAATTTAAATTGGGTAAACAACTGTTGAGGATTGTTTTAATATGTAAACAAAAAAGAAGGTTAACAGATCTGTTTGTTTACTTTCACCTTTCCTTTTCATTATATTTAATAATTCTCTTAAAGAAAATGTAAATTGTTAAGAAAATTGTTTTCTTTTAGTGCCTTCTGTAATGTTACATAATTTTTTCTTTAGCCATTATTGCCAGAATTCCTATCTTCATCCCAGTGCCGGTGAAGAAAATGTAAATTGTTAAGAAAATTGTTTTCTTTTAGTGCCTTCTGTAATGTTACATAATTTTTTCTTTAGCCATTATTGCCAGAATTACTATCTTCATCCCAGTGTCGGTGAAGACAATGTAAATTGTTAAGAAAATTGTTTTCTTTTAGTGCCTTCTCTAATGTTACATAATTTTTTCTTTAGCCATTATTGCCAGAATTCCTATCTTCATCCCAGTGCTGGTGAAGTCAAAGATAAAACCAATCTACAGCTTCTACAATAGCCATCACTGAACTGCTTGCAGAACTTGCCTGGACACATTGTGAGCTCACCTGTATGCATTGTGAACTATCTGTTGGTGCAGCGACTTGTGGTAGTGTTGGGGTATTTTTGCTGATGATGTCATTGGTGGTACAATTTTTCCAAAAGGAGCCATCAATTGGCTTGGTGTATCTTCCTCCCTTCTGCTTGTCATGATCGTCCAGCTAAAATTTGGGGGCCAACAGAGGTGAGGCAAAGAACCTCACCCCCCCGCTGGTACAAAGACCTCTCCACAGGTGTGGCTGTATACTGGACCGGTAGTCAGTGACGGGTAAGATCCAATTGCAATGGTACCAACCTAAGGACCATATGTACTATTGGACAACCTAAGGCAGGCACGGTCCCTAAGCCACATGCTCGTTGTTTAAACAGAGAGGGGGAGATGTTAAGAGCCACAGCCGAAGGGGCCCCAGCAAACTTCCAGCTGCCGGCTGATGATTGGCTCACAGCGGCCCCAGCAACATCTAGCTGATTGGCTCCTCTGCGGTGATGCTCATTGGGCTGTTTCCCTGCCCTTTCAGACCACGGAGCTGCTCATTGGGGGACTTTTTTGGCTCCGCCCACGTGACCCAGCCAATCAGCCTCAAGAGCAGGAGGATTGTGGGAGGTGGAGAGAAGCTTGTGTGGGAGAGAGAGGCTTGTGGAAAGCCGGTGGTGGCAGTTGAGGCTCTGAGGGTTTTTCCTGAGAGGCTGTTTTGTTTGGCGTGTGTGGTTCTAAAAATAAAGTTAGTTTCTTTTGACAAGTGGCTCCTGATTGTGCCCAGCCAGACTGCGGCAATAACATCCACACATATATTAAATTATGAAACAAACAGGAAAATATAAAATTAAAATAGGCATAAAAAGAAATGATTAATATCTTAAAAATAAAATAATCACCTAAATTAAATATAATAAATGGTGTGGAATTTAGACTAAACACACTCAGAAACAAATAGAAATAGAACAGAGGGGAAATAGAACAGAGGCTGAAGAATTATTCTAGTAGAAGTCATAAGCAGTCAAAGAGATAAACTATAAAGAAGGAGACATAGAAGATAGAATAAGAAACTCTAGATTATGTTTAGTAGGAGTTCTAGAAAAGGAGGTTGGAAGAAAGGATGGAGAAGCAATATCTGAAGATCTAATAGCTGAACATTTTCCAATTTACAAAAAGACATTAGGATTAATTTGCTTCCTACATGTGTATTCGTTTATTCAATGCTTTATGAGTACTTACTATGTGTTGCACTTTGGACTAAGCAGGGGACACAAAATGAATGTTGTATAATCCTTGCTCACACTAGAGAAACTATTAGTAGGAGAGAAGGATGTGTTTAATTAAAATCTAAAAAAATTGCTGCAATAAATTGTTCAACTCCAGAATTAGGAAGAAGGAGGAAGATGACTTTTGGGAGGGCTAAGAGAAGCTCCGCAGAGCAGCTGTTGTCCAAGCTGAGTTTCTGAGAATTCCCTAGAGCGCTGTTCCTCAGGAAGAGGAATGAGGAGGCATGAAAGAGCATGGCATATCTGGTGGCTCTAGAGTGGCTCTGTGTAGTCCCAGGTGGGTCTAGAATATACAGAAGAAGAGTTAAAACGAAAGTTTACTGTTTTTGTTGTTGTTTTGGTACTGGGGATTGAACCCAGGGGTACTTACACACTAAGCCACATTCCCAGCCCTTTTTATTTTTTATTTTGAGTCAGGGTCTTGATAAGCAAGTCTGGCCTTGAACTCGCAATCTTGCTGGGATTATAGGCATGTGCCACCATGTCTGGTGAAGACTGAAATTTAAGAGACTGAACGGAGAAAGATTTTAAGCACCTTTAAAAATAAAGAACATTTACTCTTTTTCTGCCATATTTCCATGTCTCCATAACGGTGTGCATGAATGTCCTGGCTGATGCTCTCAAGAGCATCAATAATGCCCAAAAGAGAGGTAAGTGCTAGATCCTTATTAGGCTGTACTTCAAAGTCATCATCCATTTTCTAACCATAATGATGAAGTCTGGTTACATGGGTGAATCTGAAATCATCAATGACCACAGAGCTAGGAAAGTTGTTGTGAACCTCACAGGCAGGTTAAACAAGTGTGGAGGGGTCAGTTATAGATTTGATGTGCAGTTCAAAGACCTAGAAAAATGGCAGAATGATCTGCTCCCATCCTGCCAGTTTGGTTTCACTGTATTGACAGCCTCAACTGGCATCATGGACCACAAAGAAGCAAGGCAAAAACACATAGGAGGGAAAATCCTGGGATTCTTTTTCTAGGAAAGTAAAACATACATACAAATAAGATGCCTCAATGGGAAAAAAGGGGACAACATTGATTGCATGCTCATTGAAGGGCTGTATATAAATGCATGTTCACAAACGGGATGACTTAGGGACACAAAAAGGGTCTCTTCCAGAGAAAATTCAGTGCAATGCCCATCAATATTGAAAGCATTTTAAAAAATGAAGCAACTGATTACAGAATTTTTTTAATAGTAGCTGGATGCAGTGGCATATGCCTTGTAATCTCAGTGACTTGGGAAGCTGAGACAGGAGCATTACAAGTTTGACGTCAGCCTGGACAACTTCATGAAGCCTTGTTTTAAAATAAAAACCAAAAATAGTTGGGGTTAAGCTGGGCATGGTAACACATGCCTGTAATCCCAGAGACTCAGGAGGCTCAGGCAGGAGGATCCCAAGTTTGAGGCCAGCTGTGTAACTCATTGAGACTTTATCTCAAAAGAACTAGGGATGTATCTCAGTGTTTATTTAATCCCTACTACTGAAGAAATAAACAAACAATGGGCTGGGGATGTGGCTCAAGCTGGCATGCGTGTGGCCGGGGTTCGATCCTCAGCACCACATACAAACAAAGATGTTGTGTTCATCGAGAATTAAAAAATAAATATTAGAAAAAAAAGAGAAATAAACAAACAAACCAAGACCAAAAACTAAAAAGGGCTGGGATATAGCTCAGAGGTAGAGCATGTGCCTAGCATGTTGAGACCCCTGGGTTCCATCCCCACTACTGGAAAGAAAAAAAAAAAAGATCTATCTATCATCTATCTATCTATCTATCTATCTATCTGAGATAATTTTAAAGCAGAACAGTTATGTACCTTACCAGTCATTAATACTTACATAGAAAGTTTTATCAATTAAAACATTACAGAAGCATTTATTTCTCACATGTTAAGAATAATTAATTCACTGTGGGCTGGGGCTGTAGCTTAGTGGTAGAGCACCTGCCTTGCACATGTGAGATACTGGGCAATCCTAAGCACAACATAAAAATAAATAAATAAAGGTATTGTGTCCATCTACAATTAAAATATATATATATATATATATATATATATATATATATATATATATATATATATATATTTAAATAAAAAGAGAATGATTCACTGTGATCATCTTGTTATGGCAGGATATGGAGTAAATGCGCAAATGTGAATTTCAGAATGAGCACTCAGGCACTAGTGTTCAGGATGCCTTGGGAGCAAGGAAAGGTCAGCGTGACTTGTTGGCTACTTCAAAGGTCTGATAACAAATGTTAAAAATGGAAAATGAGGACAATGAACATGGAGAAGGAGAATAATATTAAGAGGAATATTTAGGAGATGGGACAACAGCTCTTGGGGTGGAACTGTTGGAGATAGGCAGGAAGCAAGGGAAAAAGAAGAGTCAAGGATAACTTCAAGGTGTTACCCTGGGCAATGGGAGAACTGGCACTGATTTTAAGAATCTGTGCAACAAACAAGTAGATATCTGGAAAATAGGAATGGGGCTTGGGAGAGTTTGAGGCAGATGTCTTAGGGAGTTCTTAGAGTGAAGAAAATATTGAACTTCCCTAGGCAAATGCAACAGGTGGAGAAGGAAGATGGACGAGGTGACAACACTCCTAGAGGAGACCATACCTGTATCTGGGCCTTAAAGAATGAGGAATCTGAAGGCGCAGCACCGGAAGATGCAGAGGCTGACTGAACAGAGAGGGCTGATGCCTGGGCACCAGGTTGGGAAACAGAGGAACTGCCAAAGGTGGGGAGGAGGGAGACAGGGACAAAACAGAAAGGGAACCTTTCCACTTTCCCTCTTGCATGTGCAAAAACACAGATCCACTCTCACCTTTGCATTTTTTGCAAGTCGGATGACATCTCTCACAGGTCCAGGTGTTTTCTTCTGCATAGTAATGCTCTGGGCAGGTGCGATAACACTCTCCCTTGGAGGCGAGCAGAAAAAAGTAGGTATCGCAAGACAGGCAGTCTGTGGGCTGTGGACCCCGGCATGCCTTGCAGCTCTTGTGGCACCTCTTACACTGGCCAGTGGAGATTTCTGCATAATATCTGAAAGCAAGGGGAGCGAAGATGGAATACAGCCGTCCCTGGGTATCTGCAGGGGGTTAGTTCCAGGACCCACCACAGATACTAAAACACATTGAAGGCTCAAGTCCTTTCTATAAAACAGGGTAGTATTTGGATATAACCTACAAATATCCTCCTTTATACTTTAAGTCATCTCTAAATTACTTACAGTACCTAATGCAGTGTGAATGTTAAATAAATAGTTTCATGCTACATAATTTGGGGAATAATGACAAGAAAAAAGGTCTGTACACTATTGGTACAGATGCAATTCTTTTAAAAAGTATTTTCCATCTTTGATTCCATGTGGAACCTGCAGATGTGAAGGGCTGATTGTACTAATCTTTGCTCCTAAATTAGGTGTGGTGAAAAAACACAATGAGTCATACAGGATTCATTTACAAGCTGGGTGACTTTAGTCTCTTTACTTAACTTTACTCATTAAATTCATTTCTATGATACTAGCAAATTTAATGATTCTCAGTTTTCTTATCTGTAAAGTGGGCATTATAATCCGTTGCTTGCTAGCTGTGAAGATTATACTGGATAACACCTAGGGAAAGATGAGCTACTTCTGTCTTTTTCTTCTATTCACTGCTCCAGATTCAACCTTTAAGCTGTGTTGAATGGGATTGGGGAATGGAAGACATTTTTTACATGGACCTCTGAGTAGTTCTTCTTAACTTAAAAAGCATCTTGAAATAGAAAGTGACATGTAGTGAAATTAACCTTTACCAAATAGATGTAACCTCCTTTGAAAAGACTTTTGGAGATTAATTTTTTTCCTATATTTTTATTGGTGCATTAAATTGCACATAATGGTATGCTTTGTTGTTATATATTTGTACCACTGCACACAGTATAACAATATAATTTGGATAATATCATTTATTCCCCATTATTTCCCCTTTTCCTCTCCCTGGTCCCTTTCTTCTACTCTACTGATCACTCTTTGATTTTCATGAGATCCCTGCCCCTCCTTTTCTTTTCTTTTTTCCTCTCTAGCTTCCAAACGAGATTGTTATTATTATTATTATTATTATTATTATTATTATTATTATTTTGGTACTGGGGATTGAATCCGGGGGCCCTTAACCTCTGAGCTACATCCCCAGTCTTTTTATTTTTTATTTTCATTAAACTGCTTAGGGCTTTGCTAAGTTGCTGAGGCTGGCCTCAAATCCTTGGTCCTCCTGCCTCAGCCTTTTGAGTCACTGAGATTACAGGTATGTGCCACCTTTCCAGGCTGAAGATTAAAATTTTAAACTTATTTTTATTGGTACATTATAATGATATAATAATAATGGGATCCATTGTGATATATTCTTACATGAACATGGCATAGTTTATTTTGCTTCATTCTCTGTATCTGCATCTCCTCTTTTCCTCCCTTCCTCCTGCCTCAACCCCCTTTCCACTAGTGGTCTCTCTTCAATTTTCACAAGGTTTCTTTCTTTCCTTTTTTCTCTCTAGCTTCCACATATGAGAGAATGCATGTGATCCTTGAGTTTTAGAGTCTGGCTTTTTACTCTTAGCCTGATTTTCTCCAGTTTCATCCATTTTCCTGCAAATGATAATATTTTGTTCTTCTTTATGGTAATAAAATACAATTGTGTATATTTAGCATATTTTCCTTTTCCATTCACCCACTGATGGACATCTAGGCTGGTTCCATAATTTGGCTATTGTGAATTGCACTGCTATTAACATTGCTATGCATGTATCACTGTAGCATGGGCAAGTCATTTAACTTCTTGAGCCTTGGTTTCCTAATCTGTAAAATGGAGAAATTAAGGAAAGGCTAGGGATGTAGTTCATTGGTAGTACATTTGCCTAGCATGCATGATGCCCTAGGTTTGATCCCCAACTCTGCAAAAATAAAACAAAACAACAACAAAAACAAAACTGAATAGACTAATACCAACCTCATGAGACCATTGTGAAATCAAATCATAATGTAAAGATACATTGTGAGTGGAAATGCTTAGTAAACTCTCTTCTCATCATTTACAGAGATGAGAAGCATCAAGAGGAACCATGGTGAGGGAAGACTGATCAATTCTAAATAGGTTTTAAAATTTATCAAAGAGTTATGCTAAAAGAAAGGCAGTGGGGAGTTTTATGGATCATATTGAAAGAAGACTCCAACATCACTGCTTAAGATGAAGACTTATCTTAAATACTCATCTTAAGCAGTGGTTTAAGATGAGGGGATTGTGAAATCTCTTGATCCTCAGAGCCTTGGGGAGGATCTTATGCATAAACACAGACAGAAACATGAAAGTTAGAGAACCCTCTGTGAGGCTAAACATCAGAATCATTATTGTATTGAGACACAGAGAATCATATACCTGCCTTTCCAAGACAAAGAGATTTAACACACAAGGCTCATATCATGATGCAGAACACTGATTTTACAAAAGGAATGCTACTTCATCAATATTCCAGTTTTTTTCTCTGCTTCCTGGCTACCATGAACTAAGGAACTTTCCATCCTATGCCCTTCCACCTTAATGTTCTGCCTCATTGCAGGTCCAGAGAAACAGAGTCCGTAGACCATGGACTGAATCACTTGAAACCCTGTCAATACCAGCAGACATGCAGAAAGCTCTCAGATCTAGACCTATGCTGAATATGTGGGTGGAAAACAGGAAGAGAAGCATATCAAGAGAAAGTGGACAGAAGACAGTTGGCAGGAGGTAGAGAGAAAGTGGCTAAATCTAAGAGCCTGACCTGCAGAACCACTATTCCTGCACCAGTAGCTTTGCAACTACCAGCAGAGTCAGAAAGAGAAATTTGAGCCCTAGTCCAGGAGAAATAAAGATCAGAGCATTGGGGGAAATTTCCTACTCTGAGCTTGCACATGTAAGTTCCTGGGCAGAATCTCTCTCATAGGAAAAGGAACAGGTCAAAAAATTAAAAGACCAAAAAAAAGACTTTCTCCAATAGGAAACATTAAGGACAATCCTGCCAAGTTCTCTGAAGTTCCTGAAATGCGGTAGCAAAGACCTGAGTGAAATAAACTACTGGTTCTGTCACTGATGTAGGGCCAGGGGGCTCATGTAGAAGCCTTACTGTATTTAATTTGATAAAATGTGGTGTGGAAAGGGTTTGAAACCAAGTATGTCTCCTGAGAAGATCAGTTTTTATTTTTATGGCTGTGTTTCTCATTTTTTTCCTTTTCAATCTAAACTACCAGTTAACACTCATCATGGTTGTAGGCTGTGCTGAATGTGCACATCAGGGGAAACCTTTCCTGTCACCAATTAGTGTTTGAAGCTTCTCCTGCTGGGGAAGTCGGCTGTGAGATGCATTCTGGTTCTCCTGATCATGGATTTAGGGTTGAACTCTTTCTTGCTTGGAGACACGCTCATTGCTCAGACTGTGGGGCAGTTGCTGTGGGTCACAGTGAAAGTCTCCCAACGAAGGAATTGTTGTGTTTCCCTAATTCCCACCATAGCTGCCCCCAAACAGTAAGCACTCAGGCTTGTCTTTCTGGTAGGAAGTTAGTCTACCAATGTTGATTCATGAAGGAACCTAATGCTCCTTCACATAACTTTGCCTTTGGAGTATATTTATTGCAAGTTATGTTTCCTAAGATATGAGCTTATCATGGGAGTGGTGTCTGAGTAAAAAATAATTTTTGTTCTTAAAAAATTTTTCTCCAATTCTTCCACATTAAAGAGGTCCACAGAAACCTATGCTTCTCCTCCTCTCCCTTGGGTAACTTCATACATGGTGGAACCATTTTCTTAATCCCATGGTCTGCATTCTCTTTAGATCACAGGATCGCACACCTCTTTTAGTGTGTATGTACTTAAGAGTAACGAAAAACTGCATATGAGAAAGATGGAGATTCTTGACATGGGATCCAGATCTTTATACATCCTTCTTAGGGTAAAGTGGAAGGGTGAAACAGGTAGGCTCACCCCCACTCTTGTCTGGTAAGGTCCTTTCTTCACTGACCCACACAGCTGGTGTTTTTCAAGAGCTTCTAATGTTTATAATTCTGCATGGAATGTTGTAGTAGTATAAGAGTAGGAGTTCCCCCGGACCCCCCAGGAGCTTATAATTTTCTTGGAAAGACATACAGGAATAAGAATAAGGTCTTAAAGAACAAAATTTGTCTTAACTCACATTATTCAAACAAATAATGTGCTCTAATTGAATATGTATTTAATAAATGAGTGAGTGAAGGAAGAAGATACATAGAAATGTAAGGTGGTATATAGCACTATAACAGATGAAATAAGTAGAGATTGCTATGACTGAAAAGAATAGATGTGCCAATTTGGGTGAAAGACTTTAGGGAAAGTCCAAGGATAGAGCCCTTCAATCAGGGTCTGGAAATTCTCAGTGTCCTAGGTTCTTCCTTGGGAAGCAGTGAGCAACATGTCTATAATCAACCTTTCTCTTTACTGGGATGCCTGTGTGTGTGTGTGTGTGTGTGTGTGTGTAATCCAGCTACACTCTTCCAATTATGCTTGTTACCAGACCTTCTGATAAACACACTCTTTATCTCTGAAATGCTTCCAGAAGGATACATCAGATGTATCTAGGATGCGTATGATAACTAATCCTGTATTTGTGGATTTATGGGAGGTTTGACAGATTGCAGAATTAATGGGGTATAAATGTAGATGTTAACGGAAATTGTTTCTTTTGTAAAATCAATGATTTATTTGCATAGCTTAGACCCTGCATATTAAGCTTGAATCGGGGAGGGAGGGGGGGGATAGTAGAGGATAGGAAAGGTAGCAGAATACAACAGTTACTAATAGGGCATTATGTAAAAAATGTGGATGTGTAACCGATGTGATTCTGCAATCTGTATTTGGGGTAAAATTGGGAGTTCATAACCAACTTGAATCTAATGTATGAAATATGATATGTCAAGAGCTTTATAATGTTTTGAACAACCAATAAAAAAAATAAATTAAAAAAGAAAAAAAAACAAATCCTAAAACTGAAGAAAAAGAACATCCATTAACAGTCTTGGGCTTCTCTGAGGAAGGAAGGTGTTGTTGCCTCTGCCTTGGCAGTGCTGATACCTTGTGGCTATCAGCAAGGCTGCGCATTGGGTAAGATAGATAGCTTACATGAGTCTGATTTTACCATCAGACCCTTTGTATTCTCTCACTGGGTCACTCTGTGTCTCCTGTTTCTCTTCTATTCATGTGAGTGGGCTCACCTTTGCTCCTTACTAGTAGTGAGAATTAAATCTGACTTCATTTGTGTTCAGAGTCTTTGTTTCCACATGTGCAAAATGGTTTTGTATCTGGAGTGATTGAAGAGTTAGCTGAAGAAATGGGTTGTTATGGTTTGGATATGAGGTGCTCCCCTAAACTCCTGTATTAGTGCAGGAATGTTTGGAGGTGAAGTAAATGGGTTCTGAGAGCTGTACCTATTTGAAGGGACTGGGTAGAAACTGTAGGCAGGTGAGGTGTGGCTGGAGGAGATGAGTCACTGGGAGCATGACCAAGGGTTCATCTTCTTGCAGCCCCTTCTCTTCTCTCTCTCTGCTTCCTGGCTGCCATGAATTGAGCAACCTTCCTCCTCCACACTTTTCTGCCATGATGCTTTGCCTCACCTTGGGCCCAGAGCAGTGGACTCAGCCCACCATGGACTGACCTACCAAAACCTTGAGCCCAAAATACAGTTTTCCTTTTCTAAGTTTCCTTTGTCAGGCATTTTGGTTACAGCAACAAAAAGCAGATGAACACATATGGTGAGCATCTTACCCCTCTCTGCATTGGAGCAGGCACTCATTTTCCAGCTGGAACCAACCCGGTCGGCAGGAGCGGCACTGTGTACTGTGACTCCCATCACAGGTCCTACAAGAGATGTGGCAGGGCGCGCACAGGTGGCTGTCCCTGGCGTAGTAGCCCTCTGGGCAGTCTTGCACACAGGTGGTGTCTGTCAAGGGAGGAGAAGAGTATTTGGAATCAAGCCCGATTGTGGCTCCCACACCTCCTCTTGCCTGGAAAGAGGGAGAGGAAGTGCAAGGGGAAAAAGACAGTGCCCCTGTGGGCTGTGCTGGAGACACTTTGGAGTGAAGATGAATGTTCAAGAAATAGAATTGACCAAAAGGCTATAGGGGTTCAGAGAAATCAGAGGTCAGAGTGGTCTGTATTGGTAGAACAGAAACCACAGTTTTATGACTATAGATGTGACAATGGTTCATTGTCCAGCTGGTATATACTGTCACCAAGAGGAAGCCCAAATCCCCTAAAGAAGATATTTGTACTATATCCTATTGCTGCAGTAATAAATTACCACCTATTTGATGTCTGAAAGCAACACAAATGTATTATCTTACTGTTATGGAGGCCAGTAATCTGAACTGCATCCTCAAGGCTGAGTTCCTTTTAGAGGTTCTAGAGTAGAAAGAGCTTCCTGGCTTTTCCACCTTCCAGAGAGTTCCTGTAGTCCTGGGCTCCTGGGCTTCTCCTCCATCTTTCCCCACTACTCCACTACTCCAGCATTTCCCCCCACTACTCCTCTGCTTCTGTCATTAACTGCCTTATACTAGGAACTCTGATCCTCCTGCATTTCTCTACTAGCCTTTGTGATTATATTGGGCCTGTCTGGGGAACACAGGAGAATCTCCCCATGCTAAGAGCCTTCATTAAATCTCAGCTACAAAGTTCCTTTTACCTTGGAAGACAATCTATTTAGAGGATCTGGGGATTAGGATTGCCATCTTCAGGGGCAGCATCAGTCAATCTGCCCCATCCTCCAAATAACCATGTAGTTTACAATAGCCTGACCCTGGTGGTGTGTGGAGTCGGGTGGGATGGGCGAGTGTGAGAAGGCCAGGCCTGGGCAACTCCTGTCCTCAGCTGTTGGGGACATCTCTTTTGTTATGCACCAGTACTGCAGGCTCAATTCTTGCTTAATCTGTATCCCCAGTTAAAGGAAAGATCACTGTCTGTGAAGGCATCTAACAGACTCATCAGTGGCACTGCAGATTAGAGGTAATTAGAAAAGAAAGTCAAAATGGTTGATTATATGGGAGATCTGGTTGGATGAGATATTTCCATGAAGAAGCAATGGCTGGGGAAGAAATTTACTGAGCTTTGTATAACAGGAACTAAGATGAATGGGTTGAAAAGACTGCTGACTTCAGTGTGTTCTGTGGTCAGGTGGTCAGGATTGGTATTGAGCATAGATGTGCCTGTGTCTTAGTAGGAGAACACTGCCCTGGAAGGTGATATCTCAGCAAGAAGTGGAAAAACTTGCTATCTATGTGAACTTTGAGTACCTCACTTCTCAGGTCTACTCTACTGACTGGGAAGACAAGTCCAACACTTTCTAGTCTTCTCTTTGTCTTTCTCTTTGTCTCTTTATTCTCTCCATTCCAACTCCTTCTTTAAGTGTAGCTCCTCCGGGCTTGTATTTAGTCTAATCATGGCATCCAGGAAACCTGAGAACACAGTCTCATACCAGCAATCACCTTCAGAGCTGATCTGGAGGCAGCCCACCTGGGATTGCACCACACATTGTTCAGGATTTATTAATGGATGATAAATCAAGAGGGAAATTTTGATGAGGAGTTGAATGTCTACATGTTCTTAATGCATTCTCTCCACAGACTACTTATTAATTACAAGGGAATCAATAGTAGTTATGCAGTAGAGAAAATAAACGTCTAGACAGATGGTCAGTGTTAATTAACATCACCTATGAGGGGCAAGTGGGTATCATATGTATCTGGATATGATTCTCAGATGGCAGGACATCACCTCTTCTGACTGAGAAAGAATCCTCTCAGTCTAATCATGGGGAAACTGCACACCAACTCAAGAGGAGGAATAGGAGCTGTATTTTTCTGGAATATCAATATTATAAAATACAAAGACAGTCTGTGGAAGCATTCCAGAGTAAAGGAAGATAAGGCGACTTGGAAGCAAAATGCAATGCCTGATTGTGGAACAAGTTCTGTTATAAAGGGGTGTTGGAAAAAATTTAATGGAAATAGTAAAGTACTGTATAAATGTAAAATTATTAGAATTGGCAACTGTCCTGTGATTAGATAAAAAAGTATCTATAAGCTTAGGAAATATGAAAAACTGTCCTTGTAGGACAGGGGCTACAATGTAGGTAACTTACCCTCCAAATGGTTCAGAAAAAGTGTGTATAGATAATATATCCCTACACACACACACACACACACACACACGGAGGAGAGAAAATAATAAAGCAAAGGGGGAAAATATTTGCAGTGGGTGAACTGGGTAAAAGACATATGTATGATGTTCTTTGTACTATTCTCATTCTTGTATCTTTTCTGTAGGTTTGAAAGTTTCCCAAACAAAAGTTAAAAAAAAATTAAAAAGAAGCCAATGTCCACTGGGCACCCAGCATGGTGCCAGGTAGTTTCCCAGAGGGAGAGAAAAAGGCCTCTTGGAGTGGAGGGAAGTCACTCACTGAGAAGAAGGTTGTCCCCCCTGCAGGTGTGACACTGGTCCTCTGCGGGTCCTGTACAGTGGAAGCATTTATTGTGACAGGGCTTGCACCTGTGCGCTGTCTCATCCCAGTACTCGATGGGGGCACATTCCTTGTGAGCCACACAGGCCCCATGGCTGTTCAACCTCAGGCCTTCCTGGCAGCTTATGCAGACGCTGTAAGACGAGCAGGTGTGGCAGGACTCGTGGCAATCTGTGGGCATGTGGGGAAGCAGATACTGAGAGAAAGCCAGTGTACTCCTCTAGGGAATAGATTCCTTTCTTCTAGAGACTTCTAGGGTTTTGTGCCTAAAGTATAGGGTCATGAATTGGGAATAGACTTTAGGCTCTGGGGTGGAGCATTCTTGTTGCAAAATGAGAGGAAAAAAATAAAGGCATTCTCTGTAATATCCAGAGAGCTCCTTCCTGCAGTGGCCAACGCAGAAATATCAGTAAGGTTTACATGATTATCCCAACTACAGCCAAATAATGGCAAGCAATCCTGAACAGTGTGGTCACACACTGGCATGTGGCCTTTCCAACCATCATACCCTCTACTGCTCACCTCTCACAGTACATTTAGTTTACCACTTATATGGCTGTTGTTGGGATAAAATTATAATTACCCACTGACAAAAAAAGGCCTCTGTCATATCCTGTCCTTAATCTACAGTGCCCGTGAGAGGGCCTGTCATATAACGGGCACTCAGTAAATATTTGTGAGCCAAACAAAATGAGAACAATTCACTCTCACTTCCAGGTTTTAGGAGCTGTCATTCCCTCTGCCTAGAATTTTCTTTTCTCAGACATATGCATATGTATTCATATGCATATGACATATATGTTCCCTCTATCTCTCAGTGATATTTCATAGGTCAGTTTCTTTCAAGTTTCAATTCCACCTTGCCCATCTTCCTATCCCCCTTCCCTATCTTATTATTATTATTTCTTTTGCTTGAATTATCTTCCTTAGTGTCTGTCTTCCCAATAGAATGTCAGCTCCCTGAGGACAGGGATTCTATCTGTATTGTTTTCCAGGCCCAGAAGAGTGCCAGCACAAAGCAATCTCTGACAAGTACTTCCTAGGTGAATAGATCTGTGTTATTATCACTGTTATTATTATCACCTCCTTTCATCTGTACCAGGAAATTGTAGCTGGAGATGCTGAGTCACTCGACTGGGAAAGGATAGGCTCAGGAGCTGAATGGTGGCTCTTAACAAGAGCTCTTGCTTATTCTGTCCCAGTGCCTCACGAAAGGTGTGGGCAGTCATCCTGGGACTTTGGGAAACACTTCTCTCCCTTGAGAATTTCTCTAGCACTGGATACTTTATTTTTCTGTTCCCTGACAATTAATGAGGCAAATTACCCACGTTCCATTAAAATGTAAGGAGATACAAATAATAGCAGATCCTTTCTTGAACGTGTAGGAACTGGAGTGCTGAGTGGGAGATGGGACGGGGGTTTGGGTAAGAATGGAAGGAGGGGAGCAGCCAGAAGGCAAACCATGAAGAGAGGCAAAAGGCATGGAGAGAATTCTGCAACATGGTTTACTTATGCTATGAACTTCTATGATGGCTTAAAATTTTAAGGAAAATTTTCCATTTAGGGTGACTTTTGAAGGCTCCTCATCTCTATCGGAAATCTTCACATGAGAATCCTTTTTGATTGGCAGTTCATATCCACCATTAGGGTAAGGGTCTATGTGATTTGTAACTAATGAAGTTGACATGATCAAAACCTATGAATTACTCATTTTTAAAAATTTAATGAGAACAGATTCAAAAGAGGCTTTTTTGAATGGGAAGGTTAAGGGGGGGACTAAACTCTGGGATGGGGATTATGCAAACTCCAGAGCCTGTTTTGTCTGGGCAGAAACCATCTCTTTAGGATCCCTGGGATGCTGCGCTGGGCCATGCATCCTGGAAATCTTTACCTCTGCAATCCTTAGTCTTTTCTTCATAGTAAGTTCCTGATGGACACTCATTCAAACACAGTCCATTGTAGAGGACCGTAAAAATGTCAGCACAGAGCTCACAATCATCCTCCTTGGGGCCACTACACTCCAGACAATCTTCATGGCAGGGGATACACTGGTGCAAGTCCTGGTAGAAGTGCTGGGGGCAGGACTGTTGGCACATGTCCTTGTGCAGGAAGAAGCCAGGCATGCACTCTGGGGGAAGGAGGAGGGAGTAAATTATCCTCAGGGATTAGAGAAAGGAATTCACTGCTTTTGCAGTGGGCTAGCCCATTTCTCACCACTTTGGTTTATTTGATCTGAGTATACATTTGCCCCATCCCCACCCTGAAGAGTATATGCTCAGTGTCTAATAAGCCCTGCCTTGGGTGGGGGAGGCTGCACATGGTAGCCTGATTAGATAATCCTGGATTTATGTGTGGGAATGACCCTTTGAGATGCAAAAAAAAAAAAAAAAAAACCCCACAAAAAAACAGTGCTGTGGCAAACAGTGATGACTGGGACACTGGAGGTATTGTTTGGAAAATCCAGAAAACAATAACAGATATTTAAAATTGTATCAAAGCCTGGGGTTGTAGCTCAGTGATCTTGCCTAGCATGTATGAGGCCCTGGTTCAACCTCCAGAATGAAAAATAAATAAATAATAAATGGATAAAAACTGTACCAAGTATCTCACACTCTATTCAATACAGAAGGCAGTTTGGGGATTGTTGGATTAGTTAATTTTTCATTCATTAACAGAGTAGATCTGTGAGTAGCTGATTAATCAGTATGAAGAATGCATTGTGGGTTAATTTTATTTGTGTTCCTTTTCCTATTTGGGGAGGAAGACTAGAGAAAACTTTAGGCCACACCAAGAGAATCCTCTGGATTGGGCCGCACCAGGCAAGTTGAGTCTGTGGTATTTTGGAGAGGAAATTGGATAATGTTTCTCAGGAGATAATACTACAGGAAAAAGAAAAAAAAAAAACTGTTCATAGCCAGAGTGCTATTCTCAGTCTTCTTTCTTGTTTTTTTATAATAATTGTATTTCCCTAACTATCTCTGTACTTTGTTAATAATCAGTCTCTGGTAAGATTCTGCGCTAAAAGAGTAGGAACAGCCAAGCATGGTGGAGCATGCTTATAATCACAGTTAGGTGGGAGGCTGAGGCAGGAGGATCTCAAGTTTGAGACCAGCCTGGGCAACTTAATGAGATCCTGTCTCAAATAAAAATTAAAAAAGAGCTGGTGATGTAGCTTAGCTGTAGGGCTCCACAATCAAATCCCATTGCAACAACAGCAGCAACATCAACAACAGCAACAAAAACAGTGGGGTCTTTTAGTTCTTATCTATATTGCTAGCATGGGATAGTGCTTAGCACTGTGTACCCGTTATGTGTGAGTGTGAGAAATGCTGTTTGTCTTAATTTGCAGAATCCTCAATTTCCTCAACAATGGGTCTGAAAATAGATAAATGTTGGTAAAGGCAGAGAGACTGGTTCTCACAATTCTCTTTGACACCCCTCCCTGCCCCCAACTATCTACAGGTAGTGGCTCCGAGCCATGAGGGCTAATTGGGGCCATGCCCTGCCTTTGGGATGTAGCCAGGTACCTTTGCATGTTTTCTCATGGATGCACTCCTGACACATCGCTGGGCAGTGCTTGCACACTCCTTCCACAGCCACGTGCCTCTCAGGACAGGCTTTCAGGCACACTCCCCGGTCCAGGACAAGGCCTCCTTCACAAGAATGACAGTGGGTGGCATTTCCCACACATGTTTGGCAAGGAGAGCTGCAGCGTTCACATATGCTGTCTTCTGCATAAAAGCCCCTGTGGAAGGGAGGAAGAGGGCAGCTAGCTGGAGAAGTTGACCAGCTACAGATGACTCACACTGGATAGCCAAGGATGTGGTCTAAAACAGAAGAGGCAGTCAGGTGTGGTGGCCACTCATGCCAGTAATCCCAGCAGCTTGGGAGGCTAAGGCAGGAGGATCTCAAGTTCAAAGCCAGACTCAGCAATTTAGCAAGGCCCTAAGCAACTTAACAAGACCTTGTCTCAAAATTAAAAAGGGCCAGAGATACAGCTCAGTGGTTAAACATCCCTGGGTTCAATCCCTGGTATATATAAACAAACAAACAAACAAATAAAATGAAGGAAGGAAGGAGGGAGGGAGGAAGGAAGAAAAAAAATAATCCATAAGGAAATGTGAAAAGAAACCGTAGAAAAATCAAAGGAAAAGGATAGATCTGATCTTTATGAATTTGGTTTGTTAATGTACAATGGTTGTTTATACATAATTTAGTCATCTTCTGATTTCCTGCTTTATCCCGATTATCATTACTTTTTCTTTTTTCTTTCTTTTTTTTTGCCTAGAGACTTACTTTACAGTAGAAAATAACTTTATTCAATTTAACCTTCTTTTAAACATTTAATAAATTTTAAAAAATATTTTCAGAAAGCTCAATAAAGGTTAAAGCCCTATAAAATTGGAATCCCTTTTTCTTTTGACACTCTCAGCTGACCTCGGACGGTTTCTTTCAAAGGCATGCATAGAACACTCACACACGACACTAAATATATTTTCAGTACGTGTTATTGCAGTCTTTGTACAGCAGACTTCCTTCCAGGTGGCATCTGCATGTAGAGTGTCTCTGAATGACTCACCTAACACATTATTGAAATCACTCACTGGTGAGTGAACACGGCAAATATGAAACCCCAACCCTCTCAAATGGCTTTGGGAAAAAAGAGAAATATAGATAATGTTTCTTGGAAAGGAAAAGCTGGAACTTGTGGAAGAGGATGATAATAAACCAGCTGGGAGAAAACGGAACTATAGATACCAATTTCAACCATCTCCCATAATTATCCTGGGACTAGGTAGGGCTGTGATAGTGCTGGGGAATAATTTGCCTCAACTCAAAACTCCTCAGCTAGCCAGGCCAGGTGGTGCTCGCCTGTAATCCCAGTGACTTGGGAGGCCAAGGCAGGAGGATCAAGATTTCAAAGCCAGCCTCAGCAATTTAGTGAGGCATTTAGCAAGTCAGTGAGATCCTGTCTCTCAATAAAATACAAAAAAGGACCCTGGATGTGGCTCCATGGTTAAGCACTCCTAGGTTCAATCCCTAGTACCAAAAAACAAACAAACAAACAAACAAAACAACTCCTCAGCTTAGAGCAGCAATCTCTAAGTTGTCACTATATGCGGGGAGCAGGTCCAGGCAGGCAGGGCTCCCAGCTGCACCCTTGGCCATGTCTCCACATCCCTGCATTCTCCTGGGTACCACTGGGGCATGCTCTTCTCATAGCTAAGATAGAAGCACAAGAGGACAGGCATAATGTGAGCCTCTATCTCTCTTCTGCTAACAGCACAGGCCAAAGCAAGTCACATATACCAGGCCAAAGCCCTGGGCAGGGGAGTGAAGTCCATTCTGCCTCTAGTGGGAGTTAACTGCAAAGTTATAGGTATGGTGGTGGGGGGATGTACAAGAGGTGAAGAAATGCAGAAAACAACTCAATGCACCAGAGTCTTCTTTAATCCTGATGCCACGGAAGGACTCCCTCTTATATGGCATTTTTACTTTTTTGGGGGGCGGGTACCAGGAATTGAACTCAGGGGCACTTAACCACTAAGCCACACCCCCAGCCCTTTTTTGCCTATTTAGAGACAGGGTCTCACTGAGTTGCTTAGGGCCTCGATAAATTGCTGAGGCTGGCTTTGAACTCACAATCCTTCTGCCTCCATCTCCTGAGCCACTGGGATTATAGGCCTGCACCACTGTACCTAGCACTTGATTTTTAAATTAATTAACTCAGATACATTGAATTGTTCTCCGTCACTTATTGTATTCATTCAGTAAACAAAATTGTATTCTGTGTGTTGGGAAGAAATAAGATGGGAATGAATGAAAGCCATATTAAATGTGATTTTAAGAAAGAAAAATGAGAGAAGGAAGCAGGTAGAAGAAGAGGAACTGAATACTATCCAGAGGGAAGCTAAGATCAGGCTTCTTTACATATTAGTATTTTTAGCTTTTTTTAAAAAATATGATGGAAAACAATGACCAGCAAGTCATTGTTTAAGAGAGACCAAGTCTCTCTTAAAAATAAATTTAACAGCTGGGCATGGTGGCATACACTTGTAATCCCAGCTACTTGGGAGACTAAGGCAGAAGATTGCAAGTTTGAGGCCAATCTGGGCAACTTATCAAGATCCTGTCTCAAAAATTATAAAAAGGGCTGGGGATATAGCTCAGGGGTAAAGCACCCCCAAGTCACCACCTCATAAAACAAAAACAAAACAATACATTTGACAACATGATAGATAGAAATGCATTATATGATCACTGAGAGTTTAGATTTGAAAAATTTGAAGTTCAAGAAATTTAATGCATTTTCAGATATCACAGCTTTTTCTTTCTTTCTTTTGGTATTGGGGATTGAACTCAGGGGTGCTTAACCACTGAACCATATTCCCTGCCCTTTTAAAAAAATATTTTTATTTAGAGACAGGGTCTTGCTGAGTTGCTTAGGACCTCACTAAATTGCTGAGGTTGGCTTTGAACTTGAGATCTTCTTGCCTCAGCCTCCAGATATCACATCTTTTACCTGAATGAACATTTGACATATTAATTGTTCCCATATGTACAGTAAGGAATTTGGGGTCACAGAAAGCACTAGACTTTCTCTGCAACTAATCTCAAGGAGTGTCATTGTTAGGTGATTCAATGTGGGACGGGCCACACCAGAAGTATGAACTGTGTATGCAGAACATGAAGGCTTTGGGCCATGTGATGTCAAACCAACTTCCAGGGAATTTTCAATACTAGTCCAGGCCAAGACCTCCAGGAAATGTAGTTGACTGTTTTCTTCTTCTCCTTCTCCTTCTCCTTCTCCTTCTTCTTCTTCTTCTTTTTAATGGTACTGGGGATTTAACCCAGAGGTGCTGTACCACCGAGCTATACCCCCAGCCCTTCAAATTTTTTTTTTTTAAATTTTGAGACAGGGTTTTGGTAAGTTGTTGAGGCTGGCCTTAAATTTGTGATCCTCCTGCCTCAGCCTCCCAAGTTGCTGGAATTACAGGTGTGCACCACCATGCCTGATGAGTTGACTATTTATAGAGGCAGGTTTTGCATCTGAGATTCAACCAACAGTGGATCATGTACTATATAGTTAGACTTACTATAAAACACACAGACGTTTTTCTTTGTCATTGTTTCCTACACAATGCAGTATAATAACTGTTTACATGGTGTTTGCATTGAGATTAGGTATTATCTGTAATCTAGAGATGATATGAATTATACTGGGGGATGTGCATAGGTTATATGCAAATAGGTCATTTTACATCAGGAACTTGAGCAACTGAAGACTTTGGTATCTGTGGGGGGTGGAACCAATCCTCTGCAGATACTGAAGAATACCTAGACATTAAAGAAGAGCAATTCTGATAAAGAAACCGAAGAGATACAGCATGAAGAAACCTTCCAACTCTTCTTATGAGATTCAGAGGATGTTGGATGAATGCTGAAATCAAAGACAAGGACTCAAGGAACAAGGGAAAAGAAATCTATTGAAGATCACTATTAAATGAAAAATAAGTGGGCTGGGTTTGTGGCTCAGTGGTAGAGCACTTGCCTAGCATATGTGAGGCACTGAATTCAATCCTCAGCACCATATTAAAAAAATAAATAAAAATAAAGGTATTGTGTCCATTAACAACTAAAAAAATTTTAAAAAGTGAATATTAAGAACTCTTGGGAATATCACAGGTTTTCTTTCTTTCTTTTTAAAATTTTATCTTTTAGAACAGTTGTAGATTCATAGCAAAGTTGAGAGGAAGTTACAGAGATTTGCACATGCTCTCTGCTCCACACATGCACAGCCTCCTCCATTATCAACATCCTCTACCAGGTACATGCGCATGATACTATTGGTCAATCTACACTGACACTCAGTATCACCCAGGGTCCACAGTCTATGTCAAGGTTCACTCGTGGTGTTGTGCATTCTATGGACTTTGACAAATTATAACGAATATATCTATCACTATAGTATCACACAAAAATTTCAATGCCCTAAAAACTTTCTGTACTCTGCCGAGTCATCTCACCCTCCCCACCAACCTCTGAATACCCCTGTTCTCTTCTACTGTCCACAGTTTTGTCTGTTCAGAACGTTCCATAGTTGAAATCACACAGGAGGGAACATTTTCAGATTGGCTTCTTTCATTTCATGATGTGCATCTAGCTTTCCTCCTTGTCTTTTCATGGCTTTGTAGTTCATTTATTCCATTGTCTTGTGTTAAAAACAACTTAGGCCATTAGGCTGGGATGGCTCCGATGCCTTGGATACCACATAAGCAAACTGAAACTCAAGGTAAGCAGTAAAAGGAAACTTAGGTTTAGCCAATCAGAAACCACCAACTAACCTCCACTTTACCAATCTAATACAGTTTCTTTGTCTTGCTTCTGCAAACGTCCTATAAAAGTTTCCTCTCTTATCCCCCCCACCCCCCGGGGGGTATTAAACCACTTGCAGTTTGGTGCTAGTTCACAAATCACTGAATGCTCAAATAAATTTGTTAACATTTAAATGTGGCTCAGTTTTTCTTTTAACACTGAATGCCCATTAATTTATCCATTGATCTATGGCTATAGTTTAGATCTTAAATGTCTGTGAGGTATTGGGTTGTACTTTCAAAAGGGATTGTGGAACCCAGTTCTTCCTTTTCTTTCCTTTGCTTCTTGGTGATGAGCTCATTAATTTCTTTCCAACATGTACTCCTGCCATGATGAGTTCCTCACCACAGACACAAAACAATGGAGCCA